GAATTTAGATATCAATCTGACAGCAAATAAATACAGGGCTGGTATTGCTGATAGCAAAACTGATACTTTTTACTTAAACATATTGTTCAGTAAATAATTTTGTGAATTTGCCTTTACTTAGTGAAATATGATAAAACACAGGACAAATGTTTTAGGCAAATAAAATGTTTTATTAACTAACTACAGCAGTATAAAAGAGTATATACAGCGGGTAAAATAAATATTGAACACGTCACCATTTTTCTCAGTAAATATATTACTAGAGGTGCTAATGACGTGAAATTTTCACCAGATGTTGGTAACAACCCAAGTGATCCATACATACAAAGAAATCAAACCATAAATGTCCAGAAATGAAGTTATTTGTAATAATGTGGAATGGCACAGGRAAAAAKTATTGAACACACTWACTGAAATTTATCTAATACTTTGTACAAAAGCCTTTGTTATCAATGACAGCTTCAAGATGCCTCCTGTATGGAGAAACTAGTGGCATGCATTGCTCAGGTGTGATTTTGGCCCATTCTTCCACACAAACAGTCTTCAAATCTTGAAGTTTTCGTGGACCTCTTCTATGAACTCTGATCTTTAGTTCTTTCCATAGATTTTCTGTTGGATTCAGGTCAGGTGATTGGCTGGGCCATTCCAGCAGCTTTAGTTTCTTTCTCTGAAACCAACTGAGTTTCCTTCACTTTGTATTTGGGCTCATTGTCTTGCTGAAATGTCCAGCCACGTTTCATCTTCATCATCCTGGTAGATGGAAGCAGATTTTTATCARGAATGTCTCTGTACATTTTTCCACTCATCCTTCCTTCAATTATTTGAAGTTTGCCAGTACCATRTGCTGAAAAACAGCCCCACACCATGATGTTCCCACCTCCAAACTTCACTGTTGGTATGGTGTTTTTGGGCTGATGTGCAGTGCCATTTGACCTCCAAACATGATGTGTATTCTGGCATCCAAACAGTTCAATGTTGGTCTCATCTGACCAGACTATATTCTCCCAGTATTACACAGGCTTGTCTAAATGTTGTGCAGCAAACTTTAAAGGAGCTTCAACATGCTGTTTCTTCAGCAGTGGAGTCTTGCGTGGTGAGCGTGCATACAGGCCATGGTGGTTCAGTGCATTACTTATTGTTTTCTTTTAAACAAACGTACCTGCTAATTCCAGGTCTTTCTGAAGCTCTCCACAAGTGGTCCTTGGCTCTTGGACAACTCTTCTGATAATTCTTTTCACTCCTCTGTCAGAAATCTTGTGAGAAGCACCTGGTCGTGGTCGGTTTATGGAGAACTAATGTTCTTTCCACTTCTGAATTATGACCCCTTTAGTTCTCACTGGAACCTTCAGAAGTTTAGACATTCTTCTGTAACCGATGCCATCATTATGCTTTGCAACAATAAGGTGGTGAAGGTCTTGAGAGAGCTCTTTACTTTTACCCATCATCAGATGGTTCTTGTGTGATACCTGGCCATCATTTGGGACTGAACCAGCTGATATTAACTTGCACTGACAAGGGGCAGGCTTGCTTTSTAATTACTGAGAGAGTTCAGCTGGTGTCTTTTCTTTCCATGCCTTTTTACACCTCCCTTTCTTCATGTGTTCAATACTTTTTCCCTGTGCCATTCCACATTATTACAAATAACTTCATTTCTGGACATTTATGGTTTGATTTCTTTGTATGTATGGATCACTTGGGTTGTTACCAACATCTGRTGAAAATTTCATGTCATTAGCACCTCTAGTAATATATTTACTGAGAAAAATGTTGACGTGTTCAATACTTATTTTACCCGCTGTATAACAGTATAAAAATATAACATAATTCACTTATTCCCTTGTACTACATGCAATTTGTTTAAGGAAAATTGTCACTAGTGCAAAAATAACAAAAAAGCAACAGATTCACAGACTCGAAGTCAGTATTGACTGACGTCAAGAAGTTTGGAAATTCTTCACTACTGACTTCATTTTTCATTTTATTTGTAAAAAATAGTGTCAGTAGCACCAATAAAATACAAACAGAACTATTAATCTCACCTCGCTAGTATTGATCAATGCTCACCTTGATATCAATAGTGGCAACAGATCGATTACCCCACCCCTACCAGTCAGAAAATCCACAGGTTTGGTGAGTGTTTTTGATGTGTTCATGCTCCTTTTCTCTTCTAACCCTGTGGGGATACGTTCAGCTTGATGGTGYAGAGTTGTAATGACAGAAAGTTTGTGCTCCAGTGGGTCGGTGGAAGTCAAACAGAAGGTACTGATCTGTGTGCGCTCAATGTTAAGGCTTCTGTCTCGTTCCATACATGCACCAAACTGACCAAAAAAGACAGCTTGAAGAGAGAGAACGGAAGCAAGAATTTGACCTTATTGACTTTTTTTAGTTGTCAAACCTGTTGGACCAGTGTAACAATAGTAATGAGAAAAATCAYAGTGGAGCCAATCAGTTCCTGGTAACAATGTTATATTTAATGTGTGACTAAAAGTTCCCTCCTACCAACAAAGTAAACAGGTGCTCCCTGTTTAAGAGTTTTCAACTGCTTTTTCTAAAAGATCTTTCCGGAAACACTGGTTTGGGTCACTGAATGTATGTCCTCGGCGTTAATGTTTACTGCATTTTTCACATTGCACCATTACAAATCACGTGATCTGAGCAAACTTTCCTCTATACTTTATTCTTTTTTTGTGAATGAAGTGAAAAAAATTGATTGTGACAGTGTTAATGAGGACACTTYAGTAGTCAGTAGCTCTAATTTGTACTGATACTTTAGGAGTACATAAAGTTTGACTGGTGTCTCTTTAGGGTCTAAAGTTCAGCTCTATTCTGAGCAGAGTGCCAAGMCAWCTTTTCCTGTTCAGACTCTCACACTTTGTTAGTAAGATGAAATGAAACGCTCCTGAGCTCATCTTACTGTACAGTGTTTGCAAGTGAGGCGAGAAGTCATGTACAGCGTGTGAAATACCATGGCTGAGTGAAATCTTCATTGCACAGAGGGGTTAACAGCGCCTGCACACATGAGAAGTTATCATTAATAAACCACCATCTGGTCCATGTTAGCAGATACACATCTTCATCTGATCAGATTTTTTTTTCATTTGACAAAGTTAGATGACTAGAAGGAGTTTGAAGAGGAATTTCAATGTGAAAACAGCTTTAGGTGCTGAAAATGGAGGAGAAGGGTGCAGAATTTGTCCATTATAATTTCGTTAGCCTTATAGCATATTTGCCTATGTCATATGACTTAGAAAATTATGCTATTAGACAAATGATTTGAATATTTGTGAAATGAATAGTTTTGGCTTGTAAAAGTCAGGCCACCGACAGGTTTATGATTTCAAAGACCACATTTTTTAAAATTAAAAAACAAGGTTTAAATACAACAAACTGCAGTGTTTAAGGTGTCATTTATTTACTTTTTACTCAAAACGGAGTATCTTACAGTGTTACATCCTGTTGGACAGGTGTAGCAATATTAATGAAAAAAACAAAACAAAACAAAACAAAACAACAACAAAAAAAACTAAAGACAGTCAATTTCATGGTAAAAGTATAAAAGTATTAAAACAACAAAGGTGGGTAAAAGCTCACTCTTGCCACCAGACAGTTACTCCCTGGGGTGAGATGACGTTGATGATAAATAATAGCTATTAAAAACCGGTCCAAATCTGCCTWTCCTTATTTCAAATGTGCACATCAGTAATTAAATCAGAAACGTTAGCATGACTGACAAGGTGGGTACAGAGCATGCCGAGGCAGGTATGATGAGAAAATCCGTGAGAAAATGACTTCGAGTACTGAAAATGTATTTTTCTACTGGTTTGCCAAATTTTTTACGAGAAAATCTTTAATAAAAATCACAAAAACTGAATTCTGGTTACAGAACGTGGCAACAATATGTTAAAAGTAAAATGTACATGGTTTTGTCTAAAATAAATGTTTCATTTTTGCATTTTGAATTTAATACTTTAATGTTTTCTACACAGTTTTTGTGCTATTTTTACTCTTTTTCAGTGGATACTAATTGGTTTAGAACAACAACAGCCTGTTAGACAGAATTTATAGTGTTTTCTTTAAACTTAAGAAAATGTGCTTTAGTGTACRTTATGAACAAWTACTGTCTTATCTGGTGTAGATAAYTTTTTGAACATCARTTTAGCAGAATAGATTCAAATTCTGACTGGATTGATGAGCTAACAGCTAATAGTGTCAAGACCAAATGGGCTGCAACAAACAYGTAGCTGTATTGAAAAAGTTATTGGTCATTTACAAACTTTCCACACGATTTCACTTCAAAAGCTCTAATCTGTTGCTTTAATGCCACTTGGTTAGCATTTTTTAGCAAACAAAAAGAAGAAAATTTTCCTCTTGCATTAAATATTTTTGGTACTTTCGTGTGACAAATCCAGAATGTGTTGCAGCTAGTGCAGATACAAAGCTACTGGAGAATTAATTGTCCAAACAAAGATAAATTTAAGGCTAAAATTGTAAACTGTAGGCTACCTTTAGCATAAAATTTAGTATATTTTTGGGTTCACTTATGTCACTATCAAATTAAATGAAATCAACACAGCATAACTGGCACCAGACATTGCTGTTTGGACACTCAGATATGTGCAAACATACACAGGAAGTTTAAAAATAATCTTTCCATTGCAGATCAAAGCATCCTAAACCCACCCTTTGGAGGTTCAAAACATGCCCAGAATCATATCGACTAAAATCCATCAAGTTTAAACTTTAAATGCAAGCAGATGTTCAGAAACAGAATCCATTGTTCAATAAAATCCTGTAGTTAATTTGCCCARTCAGACTGAAAGTAAAACACCTTGCACACTAGTCTAACTTCCAYTTTGGTTTTGTGTTTCAGCTTGGACAATGAATGTGAAATGATTCTAAGACTTTATTGTAACATTAAAAAAAAAAACATATTCAAGCTCAAGCTATTCGAGGTACAAGGAGCAAAATAAAAGTAAACAAGCAAACGAGAGGGCACGAGGTTAATCATAAAATATGTTTATTTAACCAGTAAATGTCCACACACAAAATAGAACGACAACATATTCTTACAGATCCAGTATTGCTTCGCAAAAGGCATTTTTCAAAATATATTATACTGCATATATGCATATATTTTTCAAAATTACAATCTTTCCAGAGAAACATCTCTTGTCAGAAATGCAACACCCAGATGTCTTAAGAGCTTCTTGGTAATCACTGTCCTGCAGAAGACACCAGGTGGACACCAGGTGGACACCAGGTGGACACCAGGTGGACACCAGAATCCATCAGGGTTTTTTTATTTTTTTTTTGCTTGGCTTCTGAAAGAGTGTAATTTTATTTTATTTATGGCTCTGTGCCTTATCCACTATGGCGGTGCTTGTAGACCTGTTGTGCATTTAAGCTTTAGCATTGAATGCTTTTTTTTCATATACAAATTCTTTTAAAAAATCACACTCTACTGCAATATGCTCAGAATAAAAAGAGGAACGGAAGCTTTTGTTTCATTAAATAACCACTTAAGACTCAGCCAGGCTTTAAAGGCAATCCATAATAATAACAAAGCAGATTAGACRGTAAAAGCAGAAATGAAAGTCACTATCATGATGTGTTCTGTCCAGATTCACTGTTCTACATGTTGTATCGGTTGGATCAATAAGCAGGTCAGTGCCTGAGGGCACCATGTCTGCGGGAGACTGCACGTGTGTTGTTTGTGTGATGGAGGGTAGGGGTGGGGATTTTCTGAGGCAATCCCTTGCCATGGAGGCGGCAGCATTTCATTAAGCTGCTGTGGTGCAGAGGCTGGCAGTCAGTCAAGAGATTACAGACAGGCTGGCATCAGGAATGTCCTGTGTGTCCATGTTTGTCCACTGTTGGCACCTTACACCCCCCTTCACAGATGGTAAAATAGTTTAATCCTCCCCCGTGTACAGAAACTATACCGCTCGTGCTTCCGGCTCATCCAGCGCCCCATTAACAGTCATCTACTGTAACTGGTTAAAGTGCAGTCTCCGTGAAAGCGGTTGTCCGATTAAATTATGACCCGCAACTGCTTGGCCGTTACACACCAGAGGTGCAAATCTAAATTCGACATGATCCTGTTTTGTTTGAAAAGCGGAYGAGACGCGCGCTCGTGTGTGTGTGCTTCGCGGTTTGCTGCAAAAGAGGTTATTCTGAGTGGGGGGTGGGGTAGGAGGGAAGGGGAGGACAGGGCAACTGGGCTACAAAAGGTCAAATGAGGGGGGGGGGTGGGTGTCACTGCTGGAAGGAAGCGCGGACAGAGCGGCCCTTGATCGGCTGAGGAGGGCGGTAGTTGTCCGCCATGCAGCACTCGGCCTCGCCGTCGCCCGAGAACAGGAGGTCRCGGAATCTGGCCATCTGTGAAGTGAGAGAAGAAGAAGAGGATGGCAGTCAGCGCTTCGTGGAACACCTTTTATTCAGAGGCACCCACTGGTGACTGAGGCAGTTAGTCACTTTCTTGCCAAGACAAACCTGACAGCACTGATGCTCTATATGAAAAGGAAGGCTAGTGGTTTGAAACAGTTTAGTTAGAAAACCAGGCTACCAACATAAAAGTACGAATAACATCTTTCTGTGAAACTACTAGGTTTAAATACACCAAACTGCAATTTTTATTAGCATTATTATATGCTAACGGATATTTCTTACCGTGAAAGAGAGAAAGAGAAAAACCTGTTTGACTGGTGTGGCAATAATAATAAGAAAAATCTTAGCACGACAGTCAATTCCAGGTAGAAGCTTTAAATCAAAAGGGTGACTAAAAGCTCATGTGTGCCAATAAACTAAACWGCTGCTTCACGCTTTCCTGGGGTGTGCCTGGTTGACAGAGTTCATGATGAAATCTCTTGAATGTTTCATGCTTTCGGTGTGGTTCTCAGCTTCACCGAGTGAATAGTAACAACTATCGGAAAAAACTGTCCAAATCTGCCAATCTTTTTTTTTATTTAATTTAATTTTTTTTTTAAAAAGTGTGTTCCAT